AGTGTGGTTATTCACTTAACCTCACTCGGTCAATATGATGAGTCCGTGAAATTCACCCTTCAAGTCTCCAGAGATTCAGTGGTCAGTTCTCGTGTTCTTTCAGGCGTTGAGCACTAAAGAAGAAAGTTATCTGCTTGACTGGACCCCAGTTGACAGCCACCTATGCGCTGTTTGACTGAATAGCACAGTGAAGACATAAAGGAACAAGGAAACTGCCAGTTATCTCTTTGTAATCTCTCCTTACCCCCCCCCCCCACTGACAGCAGTTAGGATGAAGTGAAAGAAGAGTTCTACCGAAAACTCCAGCCTCCTACTGAACGACAAGAGCTCAGACGTGGTATTTATTACAGGTGATTTCAATGCACAAGTAAGCAAGAAAAGCCAGATTGAAAGGCATAAACGTGGCACTTTCAGAGTTCCAGTTGAATAAACAGATAACAGTGATCGCCTACTACAACTGTGCTCAGATAAATGTTTATTTCTAGCCAGTACAAACTTCAGATAAAAAAAGTGTCTGACATAGTGTCCACCGAGCTCAGTTCACCGGTGGACAGTCATCGCTGGGGAAAGGACGTAGGTAAACTTTAGCGACAAGACCATTGCATATGCAGCTAGACAATGAGAGCACTAAAGCTGTTTTTAGTAGGACACTGGCTCGACAGTTAATGGAACAGTGCGAAATCACTCTCATCCCGAAGAAGCTTGATGCCACCTCCAGTGCGCTGCAAAAACAGCTTTGAAGACCGTAGCCGACTCTCAGAATGGTTAAAAAGAGCCAGTGGATCTCGGGCACTTCTCGTGAGTTAATAGATACACGTGAACGCATTCCTGCAGGCTCCGAGTACAACAAGGAGGGAATCCAACTCAAACGTAGACTGACAAAAAGTAGACAGTTAATTAAGCTTATCAAGGAAACTGGGGCGAAAGGGTCAATGGTTCGTGAGACGACAGAGGAGAAGGATGGGTCTGCGATTCACTGGAAGGGGAGACGACTGAAACGATGGGTGAAACATCTCGAGAAACAATTAAAATGGTCTGCAGCAACCATTTCGTTGTCCACTATCTGGTTGGAACCTGAACGAGACATCAACTCCCCAAACACTTGCAGAAGTCCTGAAAGATGTAGGTAATCTGAAACGAGGAAGAACAGCAGGGTCAAACGGATTAGCCCCAGAGGCATTTAAGGGTGGTGGTCAAGGATTCTTAGTCAATTGAAGTGTTAACCAGTGTGTGGGAGTCAAATACACCCCCCTGACCGGTTGCAATCACTGACAGTTTTAAAGAAAGACGAGAAGCTCCCATGTGATAACCACAGAGGAAGGTTCTATGTTCTATAATTATTAAACGTCTGGGTGGAGCCCGGGAACAGCATCCCTGAGAAAGCCAGCCAACCTTCAGAGTTGACCGTGAGTATATCGACCAGATATTCACACTCTACCAGGTTCTGAAACGTAGGCACACATATCGATGCCCGACATTAGCTGTATTTCTCTACTTGAAGACAGCTTTCGACTTCGCCGATGGAGAAGTCACACGGCAGTGTCTCTCACCGAAGGGGTTACCGAATAAGTACATCACTTTGTTAAAGATTCTATATTCTAACACCTATAGGCGTGTTACAGCCTGTGGTAAGTTTTCAGGTGAGCTGTGTATATCGAGTAATGTCCACTCTCTCCATTTCTGTTCAGTCTTGTCACAGATGTTTTTATGAAGGTCTCCCTGTCGTCATCTAATATCCCAGAGCTTGATCTAATCCCTGGAAATACACACATGAAATAGTCCTGCTAACTGAAGATGGTGACAAAATACAAAGTCTTCTGGACACTGAGTGATAATTTGAAAAATGCTTGGGATGCGTTTCGCGCCATTCATATACAAGTTGTTGCTCAACAACTGGTCTTCAGCAGTGTCCTGTCTAGCAGTGGAGAGTGAAGGGATTGAGTGAGCTGACAAATTCACTTTCCTTGGAAGTCAGATCAGCCCTGGTGGCTCAGTGGCAGACTATGCCAACTTACGTTATCTATTGCTCCCACGCGATACCCTATTGTCAATTTAGGACCGAGCCCACTGTGCTACAGTTCACTCTATCCTACTATATGGCTGTGAAATATGGCCATTGAAAGTAGAGGACATGATAGGGCTTCTGGTGCTTGGTCACCCCCCTTTCGTGACATATGCTGTGTCGTGATGTCACCATATGAATAACACAGAAGCCAGGTGTAGAGTTTTAGGGAGGAGTGGAAAGTCGGTTGATAAGGTCGTGAACTTTCATCGACTCAGATGGCTGGGACAAGTGTTACGTATGCCTAATCACCGTCTGCCTCGTCGCGCAATGTTAGCCGGAGTGGGTTTAGGCTGAAAAAAGGTTAGAGGCGACCAGACTAAAACATGGCATCAGTGTATGAGGTCTTTGACTGTTGGTTTGAACCATGTATGGAGATGCAGACTAGCCGGTTGGGGTCCATATGATAACAGAAACCAGTGGTTGCATACTCTAGGTGATATGGCTCAGAATCGATATCAGTGGCGCAAATGTATACACACATTATCTTCATCCTAACCACTATTCTGAATCCAGAGTTTTATCATTCTTCCTTCCTCGTTTTTATTGCTTTCCACTGCTTTTAAATGATCTTTATTTCTTCCTTCATCAACAGTTTGTTAGACGAATTTATTTCACAACCGACATCATACAGGAATCCAAAATTAAGCAGTGAATATTCTAATCTCATTCCGACTGCGTGTGCACTTCGTAGCAGCAAAAATGGTTTATTTCCGCAACATATTCCATAGGAACCTTTCCTTTGAACAGTACATAAATACAGCATCTCAAAAATTCAAGAAAACAAGACAATGACATTTCGGCACAACTTCAGTCAGTAAACTTTACTCAAACAACCAGTCTAGAAATGGGACTCTGATCATTACTGTGTGACGGTCCAAAGCGCCACAAGAAACAAAACACGATGCAAGTCAAAAGGAGGAAAGACAGGGGAATAAAAAGGTAATCAAAAGTAGTATAAAATCATGAGATAAAAAGGGTTGAGATTAAAGCAAGTAACGGTTAGGATAAATACAGGAAATGAATAATAAATGTTATCACACGCAACATCATTCACGATGATGTGAATTAGATGTCTACACCTCCTTAAATAATGCAAAGCTTAAATGCAGTTAGCACTTGAGTTTTTTATCAAAGGTCAGGGTATCAAGCCCGTGAATCAGGTTTTCCCTCAATTTCACCTAGTATTCTAATTTGAGAATCAAATATGAAAACTAAATGTCAGAAAATGGATATGAACATTATCTGTTAACTAGACTACATTCAAAGGGCTAAATACAACAATACTATTTTAGTTTATATGAGCATAACGATACAACAGTATTGTTTATCCGTTTACAATATCGTCTCCAACATTCCCAAGACTTGAAAAGCAAATAAATGACAATGTTAAGTACTATTTTAAATAGTAGTTTTCATATTACGATAGTAAAGACAAAACTATAAACCACATCACTTTGTTATTAATGATAGATAGTGGTTGGTAGTGGAATCCAGGAAGCACGTTTCGTCCCACTTGCAACTCGCCAGCTGGGTGTATCTGAATTCCAGTGAGCGATGTTGTCCCAATTTGGACCCGAAGCGATCGACCCCGAGTTCGAGTCCTATCGGGAACAACTGTCCTCACTGGGAAGCGGTTACATTCAACTGATGAGTCTCATGTAGGACGAAACGCGTGTCCTGGATTCCACCGCTAGCCACTATCCGCCATTAATGCCGACAATATTATCTATATGGAAATTGAATCAATGAGTTCTTCAAATAAAACCCTATCTGAACAATCAGTAGTGGTTCTGACACCAAAACTAGCAGATAGTTTACCCGTTTGTGGCTAGCAGAGGAATCCAGGAGGTGCGTTTCGCCCTATTTGCGACTCGTCAGCTGGATGTACCTGCACCCCAGTGAGTGATGTTGTACCCAGTGAGACTCAAACCCAGCACCCATCCCTTCAGACGCAAGTGTTACCCACTAGGCTAAGGAGGTACGATAGCCACCTGTTGCACGACAAGTACATCAGCAAATAGTAATAACTAATACTCCTTATACAAGAGGTGGCTATCGTGCCTCAGGAAATACCGAAGCATCTGTATAAGAGTCCATATGCCGATAGAGGTTGAACAATTCGATACAGTAAAACAACGGAAAGTTACCAACATATCAACAAACAGTAAAAACTAACAGAGACATGAATAGTGTTGTTGCTTGTATTATTCCAACGTTCAATGGACCAAATTGATGGGTTTTTATCGGCATATGAACTCCTGCGCGGATGCCTCGATATTGCCTGTGTTTAAATTATATATTAATGATGGATAGTGGCTGGCAGTGGAATCCAGGGCGCACATTTTGTCCGATTTGGGACTCGTCAGCTAGATACGCCTGCATTCCAGTGAGTAATGTTGTTCCTACTGAGACTTGAACTCTGGAGTGATGGCTTCAAACGCCAGAGCGTTATCCACTAGACCATCGGTGGGAACAACATTAATCACTGGGAGGTAGGTACATCCAGCTGATGAGTCCCAAATAGGAGGAAATGCGCATCCTGGATTCCACTGCTAGCCACTACCCATCATTAAGAGATGTGAATAGCTGCAAATGGGATTCATGTTTAAAGCAAACCAGTTGAACTTCGAAGTTTCAAATAGGTGAACAGAACGGCTGGCAAGTTAATGTGTCACTAGGATTCATATACACTAAATAACAGCATATGACAGATGAGTCATGGAAAAGATAACAAGTTAATAATCATAGCAAGCATCACTAGCACACTCACATAAATGTGTGTATAGTAGGGAAAATGACAATGACAGACAAAATTTCCATAGCTCAATAACTTAAATGGGCAAGGAATTTAATAGATATATTTGACAGACATTCACGCTTAGAAGAATACTAACAACTGGTCTTTCTTGTTTAAATCACCATCAAATGCGCATACCTTGGTCAATTCCAGTCGAGTATGGAGTACAAACCGTTCCAGTAGGATGAGTCATCATCTCTGTATAACCTTGAGATAAAGCAGCTAGATGATTACTATGCGTATCCATAAATGTTGGAGTTTGAAGGTTTACAGCACTGGAGTTTACCTTGTTATTAATATTCCCATTGTCATTAGTATAATTATTGCTAGTAGATTTCAACTGATTGTACTGATATGACGCATTCAAAGCAGGAATAATACAAGGAACCGAAGATGATGAAGAAGGAGTGGATAATGTGGATGATAAAGAGTTTTGATTTTGTCCAGTGTTAAGAAGTAAATGTTGTTGTATAGGTTGTTTATCTAAGGTTTGTTGTACTTGATTCTTTGTAACTTTTTCAAACGTCTTCGTCGACATCGTTTCAATCGAAATATCATAAAGGCAAAGAAGCATGCAAATGCAAATGAACCTAAGCAGCAACAAATAATTGCAATAATATACGGTACATTTGATGTTCTAAATTTAAATGTTGCACTAATTGGTGTATCAGATAGTGGTGTAGATATTGGCGGTTGTGTTGATTTCTTTTCAGTATCGATATCTGTAAAATAAAGAATGACATGTGTGAAAACAGAATAAAACATTCCAATCAAAGTAGAATTTTCTTTTCCTTACAGTTTAAATAAGCTCAATTCATACTGCACTTCTAACTGCCTGTTGTGTTAAGATGACTATTCATTATTATAAACAAATGAAAACTACCAATTAAGCTTTATATCTATTGTTGCCAAAGACTAATGATCACTAAAGCTCTTCGTTTAACTGAAGTCGATCGCAACAAACTCTAGTCAATCAGGTTTCATCGTCAGCTAGCTTAACAAATATCGTGCCATTCTACACTCAGCATTCTATCTACCATTTCTTTTGATATGTCTTGACAAATATTAAAAGTGAGACTACAATTATTATTATTTGTCCTTTGGGTTCCTAGTGGCATATAGGACTTCAGTAGCACCTCGCCGTTTCACTCTCTTCTCTGTAATCTTCTTAACCTACCTCCACGACTGCTCAGAAGCTTTCATTTCCTCCTCCATGTCACCCTCGCCTTTGGATCTTGTTCACGCTTTATGCTGAGTACAGTATAGTGCAGTGCAGTACAATAGATTTCTACACTGAGTTCAGATTAATGCGGGAAGGCCTGTCTTGCTGTCTTTCCGATCTTGGCTGCTCTGATATCCTCATCTGTGCATGTGTCGCCTGTAGTTGAGACGATGCTGCCTAGGTTTGTAGGTGAAAGAGACAACTTCGTTTAGATTTCTCCCGTTGATGTTGTTGGCAGGGTGTCTTCATCACCTGTCTTCTCTACGTTCACCTGAAGTCAATCCAGTCTTCCTTCGCTTGTTAGTTTTCGGCTGTAGATCTTGTGTAACATAATACACTAGACATAAATCATGATTGGTGAAATCCAAATCTTCTAGGGTCTTTTCATCGGTCAACAGAGTACGACCCTCTTCTCACTCCGCACAGTTTGCTGCATGATTTAGTCCAGTCGATCATAATCAGGGAGATCATCAGTGATAGTAGGCAGCCTTGTCTTACTCCCACAAAATACAAATTCTCAATTCAATAATAATTCAAGCCATTCAAATGAATTTCAAGAATCTTACCATTTAGGGTTGAATGTGAATTAATCACCGATGACAAACGTAATTGTTGATCAGATGATTTTGAAATAACCGACAGTCTCTCTCCATCTGAATCAATAGTAGATGAATCAAAGTCAGGAATCTTTTGAACAGGATCATCAGACTGCTCTGCTTGTATGATAGCCCCACTCGACATATATGCTGAAATGAACAAGTCGAAAGTGGGCAATATACACGTAAACAAAAATATTCTGATTAAAATGTATTATCCCAACAGACATAAAGAGCTAAAGGTTATTTTACAATCAGCAATCCCTATGAAACATGAATGCGATATCGAACAAAAATAAATTTTATAATCTTCTCTAGTATTAATGCTACGCTCTGTCATAAGATATATAATTTCTCATCGACAAAATGCATTTTATATCATCCAACCTTTCCAAAAGTGAGGTAATTTGTAGGCCGGTGAAATCAGTATTGATATCTCATAGCTGATGCTTAACAAATTCAATAAATCTTGCTTGTAGTTGACGAAAAAAATACAGTTGTTTGATACTTGTAATTCCTCGTTGCTATACAGCGACGAATTCCTTGACTTCTGTTGGTAGATGGGTTCCTATGTGGATGCTTCGACATTGCTGAAAATTCATGATGCTATATTCATCTTAGTGACTCGTAGCGGAATCCAGGAGGCGAGTTTCATCCTATTTGAGACTCATCAGCTCTGCAGTATATATATATACTTCTGAATCACATACATTATCCCCTAAATGACTTGTTAATGAGTTGACTTTTGTTATCGAACAAAAAATGAAAGAATAAATGAAATAACATCCACACACATTAAGGTTAACAGAACAAAATCTTTCATTTGCTTTCTAATTTGCATTTTCTTTCTTTGTAACTGTTTTTTTTTATGTATAAGTACACATGAATAAGTGAGTAATAGACCTTTGAAAAAAATTATAAAAGGTAAGCAGATTTGCATATGTAATAGAGTGAATGGATGTAGGTGTCTAGACAAGGTCTTCCTAGGGTAGTAAGATGTAGAAAGAGAGAAAGGAAATGAGGAGGAGACAGCTAGCATCAAAACTTCAACATTCTGTTGATAGCAGATGATGATTGAAGTTGAAATGATAATTTGGACTGTAGTGGGATTCGAACCAATGACCACCGGGTTTCAAGCCTGATGCTCTACCAACTGAGCTACGGGGCTCGACTGTTGACCAGAATGAGCATCATATTGATTATCAATATGATACTCCACCTCTCTAATTCAGTTACATTTGGATTGCGATGAGAAGTCGTGACCAGACAGTCAGTGTGAGTACGATCAAACAGCAGTAACGCGTCACGAATTCACATGACCGACAGTGAGGCAAAACTCTTAATGATTGAAGTGAAATAAAAATCTGATCAGCAGTCTGGCCACGTAGCTCAGCTGATTGAGCATCGGGCCGGAAACCCGGTGGTACCTGGTCCGAATCCCGTCGTGGTCCAAATCTCCATTTCACCTTCAATCACCATGCAGTATCAGTACCAGTCTGGCAAACCACGGCTATCGCAGATAGTCAGAATGATAATCAACATGCGTTAAATCAATTTAATAGGCTAGTAATGGCGAACAGAGAAGAGGAGGAGAACAGTTGAGTACTACGTCACCATGGTTGCCACTTAACTGGAGATCACCAGAAATGAAGGTCATATCGATCTGGCGAATATATAAACTGAATTCAAACGAGAGGAAATAATTTTTTTGGGTGGTAATAAAGTACTAAAGACAAATTATATTAGTAATTAGAAGAAAGTATGGATCCCCATTCAATCACAAGCACACGATGATATGTCATGGCACACAGATATCTGGATGGTTTCTGGCTTTCACAGTTCACTGAACATTACCACCTCAACCCATTCTGTGTAAAACCTTTCCATCTAACACTTCGTCGGGTTGTTTTAAGGTAATTCGACAGCAATATGATGAGCCGACAAGATAGGATCATTTATATAACCACAATAAAAGAATGGTGAGTTAAACAAAATCTAAACTTCATATCTGCGTAAAAGTGTGGAGGTGATTTCATGTAGTTGCGTTACCAGCCGGTAAACCATGCTTCCGATCATGAGTCTGATGGTAAAGAAGGATTTGATCGATACACCATCTGTCTGATCTGAAACCCCTATACTTATGGAAACTAATATAATTATCCAAGTCACCCTGTAACCATTACTCAAAAACCCACTCCCATGTTCTAACCAATACATTACTCACATTGTCAATCATGGATCACCATACTCCACACTTTTTCATTATGAATCATTGTTCTGGATCACTGGAATCCGATCCAGTGGTTAGATGCTAACGTGCTGGTCGTGGAGCCTGAAGGTTTTGGGTTCGATCCCTGGAGGGGTCATGGGTGCACACTGCTGAGGAGTCCCATACTAGGGCGAAACAACCGTCCGGTGGTCCCACGTTCTCAATAATTCTTTAGTTGATGTCAGTCTGTGATGAATACCAGCTTAAAATAAATAAAATCATCATAAATCTCTATATTGGAATAACTGTTTATCCTATAATAACCCATAAAAACTGTCGTTATTTTTATAAGGATTGGGATGAGAAGTCCTGACTAGGCAGTCAGTGTGAATACGATCAAGCAGTAGTAACGTACCACTAATTCACATGATAGTCAGGCAAAACCCACCTTGGTGATTGAAGTGAAATAAAAGTCTGGTCAGCAGTCGGACCTAGTAGCTCAGTTGATAGAGTCACTAGGCCGGTAACCCGGTGGTCGCTGGTTCGAATCTGGCTACGGTCCAGATTTTCATCTCACTTCCAATCATCACCCAATATAAATTCTAGTCTGCCAAATTACGGCTATCTCAGATAGTCGAATAATTATAAGGAACCGTTTTACAATTGAAGGAGGAGGAGGAGGAGGAGGAGAACATACAAATTAAATGCTTTGACCGAATATATTGTTTTAAAAAAGTCGCTTGATCATTACTATTATTATTTGTTATTCCAGGTTAAACGTTTTGACAAAATTGACAAATAACATGAACGGACTTGTATTTCAATAAACAAACAAACGGAATACACCATGAAAATAAACACATTAGGAGTTGTTTTTTTAAACAGACGGTATTATGATCACAAACTGCAATCTAAGTATACGCATATTGGCAACCACATGTACACACACACAGACGGAGTAATAGTATTTTAAGTATACAGACATACCAGTGTATCTTCAGTGTACACGATTAATACAACATATATGCATACAAATGTATATCTGAACACGTATGGGTATGTGAGCATTACAAACAAATATACAAATTAATCCCTTCAAAATGTCAAATTATGAACACGAAACATTTTTTTTTGTAATGACCTTAGGTATACTGAAGAAAAAAACAACTTGATTTTGCTCTAGTTGACATATAAATATAAAGGAAAAAAGTTTTTTTCACTAAAAAAAACTACTCTTCAGTACTTCTAAGTATCCTATACAAACATCATTCTGTACACACTATTTAACCCGTATTTGACAAGTCTTCAAAACATGCAAACAATAATGATAGATCTATAATAAACACACTAGTCAACTTGTGACTGTCAAAAATGAACAGGTTACAAGTTAATATATAATAATAGTAATGATAGCTGTATACTAAGTGATAAGAGAGGATAAGACAGGGTATCCTATGTTTCACACTGATGAGTAACAAAGGCAGGAAACTGACATACAATCCTAGTTGTAGGAGCACAACCGTCATGATAAACCCTTAGTTTCACGTTGATATTCATCATGGATTGGAGAAATATTGGAAACCTGGGTGGACTGGACAGCTGTTTCGTCCTAGTATGAGACGACTCTTCAGTAGTGTGCACCTATGATCCCATACCTTCAGATTCCGCAGCCAGTACGTTACACCATTAGGTCGGAATTCAATCGTTTACAATATTTTCTAAATCCCCACAAACTTAAAATTGAAACCGTTAATTGACATTTCATAGATAAGAAAGCCTCTTTTATTAAAGATGTCAGAATTTGTATAGTATCTGGTTTTAGAACAGTGCGGTGTTGTTTCATCAAGAAGTGTATACAGGTATCATTGGCTTTCTTAGCTGTTGTTATCTCACTAGTGTTGCTAACCTTAAATACGAGTCCTGATGATTCACCTTGGATTCTCCCTAAACATCAAACTGTATGCTCATATTTTATGTATTTATCCGTCTGACTTGATCAACAATTTGTTATCAGATGAGCAGTTCATTGTTATGTTGTTCTGTTGCAATACAATAGATAATACTGAGGTACAGATAAGCCAAACATACAAACAAATCAACGTACAATCTGGACAAAAGTACATTGGTTCAAGTTGCCACACTTCACAGTAGCATGTAAAAGAAGAAATGAACCGAAAATAATTTTAATATACAGTAATGTTTATCAGAGGAGGCAGAATGTATGCACGAAAATTTACAAGATTTTAAAAACTTTGAAAACGACCACGAGTGCATATATCTGTGACCAAAATCACCACAATTCTCTAAGCTCTTATTCCTATCTTCACAATGAATCCCAGTCAGTCAACCCACCTCTCGATATGCCTCAAGACAACAATCAACGGATTCTTCGACTGATGCTATGTTTTGATCTGACATCAATGGAGGAGTTGAACAACTAATTACCATTCCTGGATGTTTTAGGCAGTAGAACAAATGCCGGAGAACTGGAAACTCAAGTGTATAGGAAGCCAGCACATACCAATCAAGTCCTCAATAACGATAGCAACAACCCAACAACGCACAAAGTTAGTTGTGTGCAAACTCTATTCAAAGCAGCAAGAACACACTGTAGTACAACAACTTCACGGAGAAACGAAGAAAATTACTTGGTGTCCATCCTAAAGAACTGCTACCAGCAAAACTTTATCAGAAGATGCCTATCCTGTACACCATTAACTATAAAGTCACCGACAGAAACCCCCAAATGTATCATCTAACCGTACATAAAAAAATATATCAGAAATCCCGACAAGATTACTAAGACCACTAGGAATTGGTGTGGCTCATAAACCAATAACTTCCCTCCAAACACTATTTTGTAGACCAAAGAACACAACAACCAAAGAAGACAAACTACATATCATCTACAAAATCAACAGCAATAATTGGGATCAACACT